ACCTTTAAATTTGGAAACAAACATATTTCTGCATTAACGCCGGGGACACACCGGCCGCGGAAGCGCCGCGAAGCGCCGCGAAAATGGGGCCGCCTTCATTCGGCGCCCTTGTTAAGCTATTCTATAGACCACATGGGCCGCCGAAGTGCCGCGAATCGCCTCGCGCCGGCGCGCGCCGTGCAGCGATCATTTCGGCGTCGGCTCTATTTTTTTCGCGAGCCGCGGGTGAATCGCGTCAATTCTGGCAGGAAGTCAAACCTAGACATAAGAGGCAGGCCGGTAAAGTTAACAAAATAAAGCATTTCAAAATAAAATTCCGCAATAGTCAAATGTGTTCATAATCAGACACTGCAGAAAAACCACACGAACACACACACACACATCGAACTTGTGTGCGTGTGTGACCACGTGAAGGGGTGTGTGGTTATGGGTGTCTTTTCACCGGAGCAAACAGGACAGAGAGGTAGAAAGTCTGAGGCAAGCAGTTAAGATGGATGACTTTAAATTAATTATGGAAGTTGAGAAACACAAGGAGCTGTACGACCCCCGAAAAACATGATTATTTACGTTACGTGCCCATTTCGGAAGAAACTGCTAGGATACAGCTGCAGAATTGGAGCGGGTTCCAAGAGATTCATCTGGCAGAAACAACTCATACCATAGGTTCACACACACACACACACACACACACACACACACACACACACACACACACACACACACACACACACTCACACACACACACACACACACACACACGCACACACACACACACATACACACACACACACACACACACACACACACTCACACACACACACACACACACACACACGCACACACACACACACACACTCACACACACACACTCACACACACACACACACACACACACACACACACACACACACACACACACACACACACACACACACACGCACACGCACGCACATGCGCGCGCGCACACACGTAGAGGAAAATAGCTGAGAAAAGGCAGAGAGGAAATGGAGGACACCAAGTGTTTTAAAAGAAAAACTACAGCTGAGCCGAGGCGCGCCTCGACTGGGGCGCGTCTGATCTGAACTGAGGAGCGGCGAGCAGCGGCCGAATTTCGTGAGCGATTCGCTTCTCGGCGCTTCGCGGCGCTTCCGCGGCCGGTGTGTCCCCGGCGTTAACACTGAATGTGGAATAACCAAATGACACACGAGCAAGTCAGTTTTAAATAAAAGGCATCAGTGGTATTCATTACTTGTGGTATAATCAGCATTTTTTAAATCTATTCAGGATTTATGTTTTCTGGTTTATTCATTTTTCTTATTTTTTATTCTCCTGTTTTTCTCCTGTAATAAGTGTCATCGCTGCTGTGACGTCTAGCTTTCCCCACTGAGGAACAATAAAGGGATTTTCTATTCTATTCATCTATCTGCAGCCTTTCCACTTCCTGTTTACTGTAGGTTAAATCTTTTCTCACGGGCCAACAACAAAATAAACATATCATTTTATCTTAAATGAAAATGCAACATCTCACCTGTTAACTTTCATGTTCTGGAGCAGAAAAAGAGCATAAAACCAGCATATTTAAAGCTCAGTTTGCTCCACTGGTTTACTGTGATGCTCACCTGTTCCAACCAGATACCTGCATCATGGGTTTGATCTGAGCTGAGGAGGAGACTCCTGTTGTTTTGTTCATCTTCATCATAATAATGACAACATTAGATGACAACAGGTGCTCACATAGGTTTGTGCTGCTGAACATGTCTGAGCAGCTTGACCACGTTGTTGTGTGTCGGGGACGAATAACAACGACAGCAGCCACAGAGTCATGCTGGTTTGAGCGTGTCGCTGTTCGCTCTGTTATATCAGCTCTGTCTGGACGTTAGTTAGAAAACTTTCTCTTTCAGTCGTGAACACATTACTAAGCGGCTAGAATCTCCGTTTCTGGGCTTCAACGTCAGAAAATAGCTGAGTGAACTCGGCGCTGACTGAGAGGAGTGTTTAGTTTGTCGACAGCGGAGCTGCAGACACCGGTAGCAGGCGCTGGAAAAAACACAAAGGAGGAGGCGCGTCGGCTCCGAGCTGACGCTGCAAAGCATCATGGGAGTTGAAGTATTTGCGGTAAAATCGGCCAGCGGGCCAGTTTTAATATATTTTTGATATTTATCTCGCGGGCCACATAAAAATGCGCCAGATGCGGCCCGCGGGCCTTGTGTCTGACATATGTGCTCTAGCTTAAAGCTTCAAAAACTATTTAGTGTTACTTTAATACTTTTCATGTTCATTGTGATTAAATTCACAACTTAGAGCTATATTGAAATCTCACTATTTTTCACACATTTTGGTATACCTTATTGTCTTAATACTCCCTAATCCCGGTTTCATTCCCCTCCGTTCTAGATCCCATTAGACAAACCTCTGTCTGAAATACCTTATTTCCATCTCAGAATGATGGGTGCAGCAACTGAGCCAATAGCGTGCTGCTGTTTCTCCTTTAAACTAGCAAGGAAGGTAGTCACAGAGCTGAGTTGGTGAGTAGGTGTGAAGTGGGGTATCGCTTAGCTCACATAGCTCATATCTAGTAGCGGTTATTTACTGACGTCAGAATCTTGGTGTTTTTTTAGCATAAACTTTCAGTGATGAAGCATATCATTTTGTGCTGCTGGGCACGTTGTGGAGCTGAGTCCTGTAAATCAGTCGTCACCGGGAGTAAAGTTTGTTCAGCTAAACGAGCACATCCACAGGAAGGCGGTGACAACTACGGACGTCACAGTCACACACACCATGATTCTATTGGCTGGAGGTTGAACAGGGTTGTAACAAACAAGACAGGCGCAAGCAGAAGAACAACCCGAGAGCGTTTGATTTAAAAGCTCTTAGAAGAAGTCTGAGTGCATGGAGAGGGAGTCGATTAGAAGTGCAGAGCATTTGGTATGAACAACATTAAATCTGAGAGCAGACAGCTTTGAGTGGAAGCAGAGCAAGAAAGAATGTTTAACTTTTTTAGTCTAAGGGCAGAGTTGTGGCAGAGCAGTGCAGTATCTTTGTGAAAACAAGGATTCCTGCTCTTAAATTGAAACTGAATGCTACTCTGTTTGTCTTGTGAGTTGAGCCTAATGCTGTTTGTATTATGCTGTGGATCTAGTCTGTTAGTTTTAGATGGTATTGAGTCATATTAGATTTTTGTAAGAAGATCAATGCTTTTTAGCTTACAGTTTGTCATTTATCTTCTCAAAACGGGATTCAATAAACGTTTGTTTGAGAACTTTAAATTGTGGACTTTGTACCACAAGTAAAAAAAAAAAGATTACCCAGCATTGTATAAGCATAAGAGGCCCATTTTCCCTGTGATGAGTATTCAGCCAAGAGGCCCCACATTCCCTTCAGAACATTGTATTACGGAGTGTTGACATGAGGGCTGAGTGATATCAATTTTCACAGCTCCCACATAATTATCTGATGTAGGATTACACTCCCTGGGCTGCCACCTTACGGTGGTGGAGGGGTTTGAGTGTCTCAGTGATCCTAGGAGCTAAGTTGTCTGAGGCTTTCTGCCTCTGGTAGGGTCACCCATGGCAAACAGGTCCTAGGTGAGGGATCAGACAAAGAGCAGCCCGAAGACCTCTTATGATGAATTATATAAATGAAACCGTGTGCCCTCGCCCAGACGTGGGTCACCGAGGCCCCCCTCTGGAGCCAGGCCTGGAGGTGGGGCACGTTGGCGAGCGCCTGGTGGCCGGGCTTTCACCCATGGAGCCCGGCCGGGCACAGCCCGAAGAGGAAACGTGGGTCCCCCTTACCATGGGCTCACCACTCGAGGGAGGGGCCAAAGGGGTCGGGTACAGTGTGTGACGGCTGGTAGTCGAGGGCGGGGACCTTGGCGGTCTGATCCTCGGCTACAGAAGCTGGCTCTTGGCACATGGAATGTCACCTCTCTGGTGGGGAAGGAGCCTGAGTTGGTGCGTGAGGTTGAGAGGTTCCGACTAGATATAGTCGCACTCACCTCAATGCATGGCTTTGGCTCTGGAACCAGTTTCCTTGAGAGGGGTTGGACTTTCTACCACTCTGGAGTTGCTCCCACTGAGAGGCGCCGAGCAGGGGTTGGCATACTAGATGCCCCCCATCTTGGTGCCTGCACGTTGGGGTTTACCTCAGTGAATGAGAGGGTAGCAGACGGGTTCTGACTGTGGTCTGTGCTTATGCACCAAACTACATTTCAGACTATCCACCCTTTTTGGAGACCTTGGAGCGGGTGCTGGAAAGCGCTCCTTCCGGTGACTCCCTCGTTCTGCTGGGGGACTTTAACGCTTATGTGGGCAACGACAGTGAGACCTGGAGAGGTGTGGTTGGGAGGAACTGCCCCCCCCCCCCCCCCTCGATTTACCAGGCGATCTATGTTCCTACCCTCACCTATGGTCATGAGCTTTGGGTAGTGACCGAAAGAACGAGATCGGGGATACAAGCGGCCGAAATGAGTTTTCTCCGAAGAGTGGCTAGGCTCTCCCTTAGAGATAGGGTGAGAAGCTCGGTCATTCGGGAGGGGCTCGGAGTAGACCCGCTGCTCCTCCACATTGAGAGGAGCCAGTTGAGGTGGCTCGGGCATCTGGTCAGGATGCCTCCTGGATGCCTCCCTGGTGAGGTTTTCCGGGCACGTCCAACCGGGAGGAGACCTAAAGGTAGACCCAGGACACGGTGGAGGGACTGTGTCTCTCACCTGGCCAGGAAACGCCTTGGAATTCCCCCGGAGGAGCTGGCCCAAGTGGCTGGGGAGAGGGAAGTCTCGGCCTTTCACCTTAGGCTACTACCCCCACGACTCGACTCCGGATAAGCGGATGAAAATGGATGGATGGATGGATGGATGATTACTTTATCTCCTCACATGTAAATAAAGAGCTCTCAAGAAAACCCACCATGTCCTGTGACGTTTATTTAATTGTTTATTTTCTTGTTTGTTGTACGTGGGCTTTAAATATTTTATTATCTATTTGTTTCTTTTCTTCATACAGCAGGCCTATGTGTCCTCCGGCCACCAGATGGCGCCCCCCAGTCCCAACACCATCAGTACTAGCAACAGCAGCGGTGGAGGTGGGGAACAACTGAGTAAAACGAATCTGTACATCCGCGGCCTCCATCCAGGAACCACAGATCAAGACCTGGTGAAGCTCTGCCAACCGTGAGTGACATGAAATAAGTTAAAAAGAAGCATTTTGAAGCAGCTTGAGTGTTTGTAGTTTAGGTCGTAGAAAGTTTTTTATCTGTTCTAGTCGAAAGCTTGGTGGTCACCAGTCCCTCCATTGCTCTGTTTTGCATGATGTAGACCAGATAGGAAGCACTAAGGTGGTGCAGTTGGACAGCAGTGTTGAGATAATGTGGTATGGAATCTGCAGCCTCAAAATTTGCATATGGATATGTTACTTTAGAGTTAGTTTTTCTCATAATGGTCCATTAATCTGTTTCATGTAACTGCTTGGTTCTAATGGGGGTCACGGGGTCAGGAGACTGTCCCGGCAAACGATAAAAGGCAGGGTACATCCAGGACAGGGCGCTAATTAACTACAAACACAAAACTTAATTGCACTGGTGGTTCTACGGATGGGGCCAAAGAGGCATGGGCCCCTGCTGACATCTGATTGACCCCCTGAAATGCTCCTGTCCTGTCACTCATTTTTCCTTTGCTTGATGATCAGGTTATAGGTGGATGCAATTCCAAGTCCAAATGAGTCAAATAGGAATTTCCAGTGTGAAATCCTGTGCAACGATGTTAGGTTATTACTTTGCCTCTTTATAAAGCCTCCCTCCCACCAACCGTTTTGGTATGGAACGGGGAAGACCGGCTCACTAACCAACCAGACAACCAACCAGGACCGGGACTTTTTTGGCCCCCTTCTGTTGTAGTTCCAGAAATTTCTGGAGCGGTATGCTTAGGGCGGAGCAACAACACAGTCTACTGATTAGGGGACAGAAATACCTCACTACTTGTAATCAGCAAACATCGGAGTTCCGTTGTTTGTATAATCGTTAGCTGTTCATGAATATGAGAAAATGCCAGCATGTAGCAGCAGGTTTTGTCATCTTTGGAGCTCCGTAGAGTCCTCTCGGGAGAAACTAGAGAGATTGGTAAGGAATGCAAGTTTTTTTTCTCAGCGGATGGCAACCGAAGGATTCTAGCGAACGTTGGAACGTGTCGGACCAAGCTGAAGAAATTAAAGCCCAATGTGAAAAAGTTAAGGATAGAAACAGCCGGAGTGGATTTTCTTTTTGGAGTGGAAATGAGAGAGATACTCGGAGGTGCTACGATGCACTGGGTGCTGCTTACAGCCACAGACTGGCAAACCAAGGCAGCGAGGCAGGGCTGGACTCCGCGACCGCACTTGTGGAGTCTGTTGATAAGCATTCCATTTTTGTCTTTAGCTCTGCAGACCATTTATTGCAGCACAAAAATACAAAGTAGTTACACAACTTTTCCCATGACAGTTCATTCAACCCTGCCTACCGACATGAAAGGCCAAACTGCGATAGAAACGCCCGCCTGAAAATAGCAGAGGCATGCTGGTACACACTGCTGATGGTGACACGCTCTGCACCAGACCCGGTGGTGGAAATTTAGCATAAATATTGTGGCCCCTTGATGGCCCAAGACTCAGAAAAATTCTGGATCCGCCTCAAAGCTCACACTTATGGTGAACTATTTCTCGAGGCTTTGGATCAAACATCCGTTTTCTACCACGGTCTTGACTTGTGAACAATTATGAACCTTTCAGATGTAACGATTCGTTAGTTACATCTTAAGTAATGACCCATAAAATGTGAGATTCCATAGGAAATATGAAATCAATTTGATGGATCTTTGAATATTACTTTAAGCAGAAGATCAGATCTTTTTAATGCAGGGATTAGATAACACTTCGTATTAACTCCAAGAAAGAGAGAGAGTCAGGTTTAAAAAGTAAAAAAAATTATTTCTAAACAATTTGAACAAGACTAACTCTAAACACTATGTGTATGATGTAACTAAGGTGGCGTAAGACTGAGGATGGTGTGTGTGTGAAATATGTTTAGAACCAGCAAATCCGGAGACATTATTAGTTCTGAGTGGGAGTGAAAGGGTGTTTCGCTCTAAGCTTTGGTTTGGAGATTATAACACACATTGAGACACCATCTGTCGGTCTACGTACCCCAACGGAAGTCCCTGTTTAAATCCGGAATGTCGGGGGTCCAGCTTGGACCCTCTTGGAACCAACGCCTGTAGATATGCAGCGGTTGCCGACCCTTCCAGTCTTGAGATACTCCCAGGTCACGACAGTTTATTGGCATCAGCGAGACCCTGAAAGGTCGTGATGGTTCAGCTTTTATTCTGAAGGAACCGTTGCAGCAGGTGGAACATGCAACAGATTTAATCCAGCTTGTCGTTAGGTTCTTTCGGCTTTAAGAGGAAAGTTACGGATTGGCCACTCCGATAACTTCTCTAGAATGCTTGGAACTGGAGTTAAGATGACGTGGGACATAGTTTTATAATTTGGATGTTTTGATTCACTGTCAAATCAGAATTAGACAACAAAAGTGGATTTAACAAGCGCCAACAAAACCACGCCTCGCGTCAGATCTGGAAGGTCCTGATTGGATCAGAATAAGGAAATGTGTCATGTGACTTTTTAGCATTAAGTGTGATCAGTCTAGTGTAAATATTTAAAGTTATATTACTTATTAAAATACTATCATAGGATTATAATATCAAGTAATTAATATTCTCATTTCACAGATTGATTGAACAGTGAGCTTCACATGATTATTTGGACTAACGTAGTTATTTGATTATTATTTAAAGAGAAAGAGTTCTGTCTTCTTTCTTCTTTCTTGTGCTGTCCGGAGAAGCAACAGTGTAGATAAGAGCACAGAGCATGAGTGGCCTTGGCCCATATCTTAGGCTTGTGTCAGAAACTTATGGTTTTGCTTGGGCAGAGCAAATAGAGCAGGGCCTTTTAGGTCAAAGATGGACAATTCATCACGCTACAACGATAATGAATTTCTTTATACTTTGGAAATTGTGTTTAGGCGTTTTGACGCAGAATTAGAAGTACGCCTGCATATAACTGTGACTAAAAGATGGCTGTATTAGATTTTGAGAGGATTTTCAAAATGCAAGACATTTCACACTTGAGTTTAAATGCATTTGGTGTTTCTCTAGATCAAAGTAACTCAACTCCCTGTCGTTGTTTATGTCCTGATCAGTGAGATCTCAGGCTGGCTGAAGCTATTGTTTCATTCCCATCCACGTTAAGCGGGAACAAGACTTGACTTTGATACTAAATGAGAAAAAGAGTTTTGCAGAAACCTATTGTGAACAGAAACATGTGCGCTGTCCAGAGATATTGTCTTCATCTGTTGGACACATGAGATTAAATTGTCTGAGGCCATTTCCAGACTCTTTTAAGTTCCTTTCAAGGGTTGTTTAGGCAGGAATGGGATTAACGGAATCAGTCAGTTTGATTGATTGTTCACAATCAAATAAAAACACAAATTGTACACAAAATTGTGAAGACTCAGAAGGAGATGTAAGAAATCTGATCAAAAGCAGAAGGTCATGAAGAGGACTCAAAGAAGGGTACAACATCCTGCCTATTTTTGTTATCATCATACCATCCTCTTGTGGGGCAGAACGCTAACACACACACACACACACACACACACACACACACACACACACACACACACAACCTAGTGTGTGTTCAACCTTACAAACACTCATGAAGATAACATTGGATATGAGGCAGCCAAACTGGTTTGGGCAGCCACAGGTCATGGCTGAACTCGACGTCATGGAGAGGATTGGTGAACTTTAGTCGTGCATTTCCATTTCCAGGGTTAAATCACATCAAACATCATGGAGAAGGAGAGCTCATTCCCAAATCTTCGTCATTAATTTTTCTGATTTGAGCTGCAGATTTCTCTCAGAAATATTAAATGCACATGCGTATCATCATAAAAAAATAGTAATAAAAAACAATCAAAGACCGTTTAAAGTCGGTGGTTGGAACGTGAATCGGGGGACTTTAATGTTAAAGTGGTAGGCTTACAGAAACGTCTTTGTGAGGAGAGGGACTGGGGCTTTAGGTGAAATTTGGAGGGCTAACATCAAGAAGGGAGCTTAAATGAGTGGGAATAAGGTTGCATGGCCTGATGGGAAAGAATGTCAAATGCCCAAATAAGGCTTAGAGTTGTCTTTTAAGTCCTTTTGCCTCTGTGTGGTGGTGGACTGGTGTTGTGCTGCAGCGGGGCGGATAGCGTGGGTTTCACCGCCTGTTGACCTTTACACTGTCCTGGTGCTTTTGCTTGAAAAAGAACAAAACAACAATGAATTTCCTTTGACAGATTACTCATCAAATTAAGGATCAGTTTCACTTTTTTAACCAACCAAGGCACGTAGCTATGAAAGTTAGAGAAATGCATGAAACACGTGCTTTAGATGCAGAGTGGGAATTATTCATGTGACAACCACTGAAATTTTAGGAAAATCATCCATCTGTTTGCCTGTTCAGAACTGGGAAAGTGCTGTAGTCTATTCCAGCTTTTGCTGAGTCAGACGTTAAAAAGAATTTATGAGGAAAACAGAACAGATGCAAAATAAATACATTTGGCCAATAGAGGTTTTTAAGTTGAAGAAAATCCCTGTACCAAAAAAAATCTCTAGTTTTGAATCTAGGCACCTGTTTGTATTTTACAGGTTTAGACTAAACGGTTCCATATCATCCTATTTAAACCTTTGAGAGCAAAGTTAGCACAGTATATGAGGAACTATTACCATTGACACTATTGTGATGTCATTTCTCTTAAATACGAGTTATTTTCATCAGCCTGAATTTCTTCCCAGACATAAAAGACTTTGTTTCAGTGAAACTCCACCCACGCCCGCTCCAACAAAAGGTGCCTACCACAGCATCTTAGGGAAGTTGGTTACGGTATTGGCTATGGTAGTCCTGTGGCATCTCAACTTGGCCGTGTGCTGAGGTGGGTTTGGATCCCGATGATGTGAGCAGAAATTAAGCCTTTGATGCATAATTATCACTACAGTGGACAGGTACTCAAAATTGTTATTAGTATTATTATTTTTTGCTATTAAGCACAGCTGTTGAAGACTTTATTGCATTTGAGCCCTTCCATGTGGACTGAGGTGGACATATAATAACTTAATTGTAAATTATTAAATGTTTCAAAAATTTTTTGTTGAAATTTGTTTCATCCACACCTAAAGATGAATGAAAAAATTGTTAAATAAATCAGGGTTGAAGATTTCATAATTCATGCATCAAAGGGTTAATTTAGCCAGCTGAAGCAGGTTATATCATTTTATATTTTAGTTTTATTGATAATTTCTGCAAAATATTTTGTGTCTCTAAACATCTTTGGATTTGGTCATTTCCAAGCAGCATTTTAGTTGATCTTCTCTGCTCACCTCACATGGACTCACACTGGCTACAAAAACAAAGAAAGTAAAAAAAAAAAACTGAATATTCCTCATATTTTAAACAGTTTACTAAAAAAGGTTTGAAAACACAATACTGGCAATTGTTGCTAAAAAGAAAGAAAAAAGTAACTGCTGAGACCGGGAAATGAACCTGTGCTAAAACTACATGTCAGCCCAGCACACTTACCAATAGATTACCAAGTCTGTTACACAACTATAGTCACTAGGGATGCAACGACACAACTTTTTTTCCAAATCTATACAATACCGATACTTGGATCTGAGTACTCGCCGATACCAATTACCGATATCAGTATCAGTATCGGTGCATCCCTAATAGTCACCTATACCACATATCCTAAACTGGCCACGGGAGACAGGTTTCAGACCAGAGACAAGCTTCCAGGGTAGAAGCAGGTTCTGATGTTGGGAGCAGGAAGATAGAGTTTCGTACAACTTATACATTAGGCTGTTTCAGGAATTTCAAAATAAAATAAAAAATTGGCAGCTGAAACAGGAAAATGCATGAATGCAGCCAAAAGCGGGTTTGGGGGTATTTGAAGAAACAACAATATTACGTGGTAAAAAGCTCCAAAAAGTGGATACTTGTAACACTTTTTCTGTAACTGTTATATTACTTAATGAGATTGCCTCTGAAAAAGTTTAATGAGCCACAAAATCCATTTTTCCAATATGCGTCTAACTAATCTGTATTTGAACCCTTCGTTTTTAAGATTAGATATTGTTCTGTGCAAATGTTTCACATGTGTCACCCACTTAATCTTTTAGCTTTAAAACACCCATTTTTTACAATCTTTAATGTGGTCATGAGCAATAGTCCATCAGACCTTCTGAAGGTCTTTTAAAGGTTTGGTTTGGCTACGTTAACTCATTTTCTCAGGATAATCGAAAGGTTCATGCTTGTTGTTTTTTTAGGTTATTTGATTTTTTTTCCCAGCTAATTTCAGAACCTTTGAATATTGCATGATTGGAACAGAGCATCCCTGTATTAGATTATCATTAGCGTAATCAGGGGCATCCGTAAGTTTGTCGAAAGTGGAGAATCAGGTATAAAATTGGCATAATTATCTTGTAGTGTGAACTAGGTCTTATTAATATTTATATAAAAACTACAACAGCGACTTTCCTCCTTAAACTGCTCATAGATGTAGCTCACTAAGCAACAAAAGTGTTGGTACCCCGGTGTATTAGCAATTATTTCACAAAAGCCTTTTTTCTTTAATATCAGCCCAGTTCTACGTATTGGACCGATATCAGTAGGTTAAAAAAAGACTAACATTGGTCAATACTGATATTAATATTGTGCATAAAGGCCTGTTTTGTTGATGTATTTCTCTGTTATTAAGCTTGAATTATTTTACTAAGCCTTTAATTACAAATCTGTGGGTTAATACTTGTATTATTTGATTATTTTTGATTATGATCAGTCGCTCTGAGTTTTTCATGATTTATCTCAACCACTGAGTCTGATAAGTGTCCTGGTTTATTGTCCCCCCCCCCCCCCCCCCCCCCCCGCCCCTAATATGCAAGCGGGTGTGTAGGACCCAGCAGCTCCCTGTGATGTGAGGGTGGAAAAAACAGAGAGGTTGGTAGAGGGGAGGAAAGCAAACTGGAGGGGAGAAGCATCAGGTTTCAGTGTACATTCCACCCAGACGCCATGTCGCCCAAACACAGGAAGACCGGCCTTCCTCCCCGGCTGAAACCACCAGACTAGAACAGGTCTCTCCTGCTGTGGTGCTGATGCTCCTTCGTCCATGGTCCTGCCACATAAATGCAATCACTTTACTGCATTTAAGCTCATTTTCTACCATGAATATTCATGAGACAGCATTAATGCAGCAATTGATTCCAGCAGAGTGAAACAAAAGACTGGGATGGCATGTTTTGTTGCTTTAAAGATGGATTGAGAGCAGACTAAATGACTTTGAATCATCATTAAAGCCAAAAATACTCAAAAGCAGAGCTGCTTTCAGAGGAGAGGTGTTTGTTCATTGTCTCGTGTGTGTTTGTGAGGTGAAGACGGGCTTGGAATAAGTAGTTTTTGGCCCCGAGGTGCTGTCTCCTGTCCGTCAGGGACAACACAGAGGAGCTGAGTTACTGTACGGCCTCCCGGGGCGGACAGGGAGCGGAAAGGGTTTAGGCAGGCAGACAAGGAGTTTCTCTGTAGCCTTTTATCATCACATTAATGAGTCATATGGCACACAGCAAGAGCAGTGTGTGTGTGTTCACGTTAACACCTGCTGTCTGACACCCTGAGGAATTGCGGAGATGCTGGTATGCATGTGGTAGGAGCAGATTCCTGTCTTTGTCCTGCGGTCTTCCCAGGTGTCATTCATCCTGTCTTTGTGTGTTTTAAAGGTACGGCAAAATCGTGTCCACCAAGGCCATCTTGGACAAAACCACCAACAAATGTAAAGGTGAAGCACGCTCGTCCATCGATCTGTTCGTTAAATTAAGAGTTTGTCATTTATTTTTCTCCTAATGTTGGACTTTTACTAAAGCTGGTATCTCATACAACATGTGTAAATGTATTTAAGCTCTAAATTGAAGGAATTTTGAACAGACAATAATACATTCAAGACTAGCATTCACTCCAAATAGTCACAGAGTCACAGGAACCCTTATCTGGCTCAGAATGCACGCGTTGGATTATTTGTGTGAAATCCGATCTGCAGGTTTTGCTTAAAACCTAACCATTTTCTTAAGGTGGATTCAGCTTTATCACCACTTCCTGCACTTACTCATTGATGATAAGGAAACTGACAACATGTCACTACCACGTGCAGGGAAACAACCACCTACCACTATGATTGCTGCATTAATTCTTCATATTGGTGTATTTTAATAATTCAACAGTTCGGAAGTCTCTGCAAAAATAGCAAACAGCTCAAGAAATAATTAAAGATCTAGTTGACTGAAAATCTTTTTTTTTCTGACTCAAATCAGTAAGTCTGAGTTCATCATGCAGGCTGAACATGAAAATGGTCTCCACCTCCTATCTCCTGCATTAGCTTCTGAAAGAAAATAGACGGTGAAACTCTAGGATTTGAAAATCCTCACAGATCTACGTCATACTGTGAATTTGCATTCATAGACTCACCCATCTTGACTCACAACAGGGAAGGCTGTTGTTTTAACATCCGGGAATCAGCAGCGAAAGTCTCGGCTAGTTTAAGCTAACCGTTAGCATTAGCAACTCCGCCACACAGCAGAACTCCTCGAGGCTTGTGTTATCTGTGGAGATAAAGCATCAGCGTTGCAAGTCGGTGGTAGAGTCGTGTTGCTGTTATCAATCCGGGGAGAGATGTCCAAATATCAGGAACAAGACTCCAGATTTGGTTGTCTGAAGCTCAGCTGTGATGTCACAGACTTGGTCCCACTGAGCCAGAGGTTTGTGGGCTTTTTGTGCCCTGAGTTCTGCCTGCAAGGCATTCATTCCTTCTAGAGGCCACTGCAAATGTATTGATTAAACGAGTAATCCACTCCTTTAAGACTTTTTAATTACAGCAATAAAATCTGCACAGGGATAACCGTTTGTTTTCAGTTTTGACCAAATTAATGCAAATTCATATATTTTTGATGTTTTTCCCCAAATCTGTGAGACAAAACGTTTGGTTACTTTGTTTCCACCTCTTTCAGATATCATGCCAGAATTTTTCAGTTCAATTCAGTTTTGTCAGAACTGCCATACATACAAGACGTACACAGAATTCCAATGGTGTTCCTTCATTTCTCGGGTGCAGACATTAGTATGTGTAAAAATGTAAAGATGATTTGATAATATGAATGATACTATGCAGTAAAACAGGAGACAACATACCTGCTTGAATAGTCAGGAGGGAGTTCTGCTAATGCTAATGCTAACAGCTAGATTGACTGTTGTTGACTACCACCTCATATATTTCATCATGTTTCACATAAAATTTTTACTATTTGTTACTTTTGGAGCAGATCATTAGTGCGACCCGATAACTCATTCAGCCTTGCGGCTTTTGTTGAGAAATCAGCATTAAAATCCACCTGATGGGGGGAAAAAAATGTGTAAAAGTTTCTTCACCTGCCCAGTAATGACATTAAATTTAGATGTTTGAAATCTGCTCCTAAATTGCCCCATATCACTATCTGTGACACCTCTATTCAAATTTCTCACTGATTCTCCCAACTAAGATCATTCTGACTGCTGCAGGTAAGATACTGACTACTCAACACATCCAAAATCAATCAAATGACCTCATTAAGGGACTGGAACTACAGCTATGTCTGTTTTATGTTGGCGTATTTAACATTTTGACTCTTGTTTTTGTTTTTTTTACAGGGTATGGCTTTGTGGACTTTGACAGTCCAGCAGCTGCTCAGAAAGCTGTGACAGCTCTAAAATCCAGCGGGGTCCAGGCTCAGATGGCCAAAGTAAGAACTCTTCTTACTTTTATACTTAAGCCACAAACCTCATTTCACCGGATGGTTCCATCTGTTTTCCTCTTATTGAGCTTCCTGCTCAGCTCACAGTTGAAGTCCATCTCTTCACACTCACCCACTTTAATTCTGCGCAGGACGAGCTGTTTAGTGCTGCTCTTACCCCGTTGGCAGTGTACAAGACAAGCTCTTCTTTACGGGATGGAGTTTACTATGTCATAAGTCAGACTTATTATGAGCAGTATTAAAGTGGCGCTTGTCTTTTATGCCTGCCACTTTTAGCTTCATGTCCTCCTCGCCCACGCCCCGTGCATGTTGCTAACCTGCTCCAGTTGTAGCCCTTTTTCTCAGCTCCTTGTTAACGTGTCGGCAGTCAAAGCAACTCTTGTCGGCCCATTAAGCTGATCCCACTGGCTCTCATGCTCCCAATTGAGGGAAACCTGGGGAGGGTGCCACTACACCCTCTATCAATGGGACCGGCACAAAGAACTGGCATTGTCCATTGTCTGGGCCCAAGCCTGAGGCTGACACCACCACTTAATACACTCCACCCCAGTGTGCCTGCCTCCTCCTCCACCTCCCTGTCCCAAACCCAAACACACCCACTGCAATGTAACACCAGGGTGTCCCTCAGCTCAGAAGGGCTGTAAAAGAGCCAGCTGACACCAACTGGCTCGCTGCAACCAGACCCAAGGTCTCCGGCTCCAGCCACACGATCCTGTCTCTCTCAGCTCTCTACTACCGGACACCAGAACCCGACTCGCCCCGGCGGCATGTGCTCAGTCAGACGTGTTGATAACGACTATGTAAACCTAAATATACACCGCTGCTGCTCTGGGTGTTACTTCAGGTCAGGGACGAGTCTAAAGTGTAGTCGAACCTGTGTGTACACCATCACCATGGAGACCAGCCACACCTCTGTGTCCTGAGAGCATGATCGCTCCCTGAACGTACGGACGCGGGCCCCAAGGAGCTGCATGCGTCGGGGCGAGAGAACAATGGTGAAGTTAAAAATAGATGGCTCCATGCCTCCCAGCCCCAACTCAGACGTCGCATACGACACACAACCGGACGAATCTGTCAGCTGAGACACACCTTCACAGGCACAGCCCAGGAGCCTCCCAGAGCAGCTCGTCGGCACTCCAGCGCGTTCTGCTGTGTGTAACCTCGTTTAGTTTGATCCCAGCTGCTTTCCCGGGTAAAAATTATAAAGATGTTTCTAAAACCGAGTTAGAAAACGGGCCGTGGCATCTCCAGGTGGTTTGATGCTTTGAGCAGGGGCGACCAATCTGCATCTTCCCAGGAATTTGTTTATTTTCGAACCCCCCGTGTCTGCTGTGCCTTTAGCGGCCGTGCCAACATTTACCAGCATGTGGGCTGCTTGCGTGTCCTCTCCTGTTTGCTGTTTTTGTTGTTCTGGTTCAAAAGACTTTAGCTGCAACTTGAGCTGTTTCCACTTGAGTTTGCATGAAATAAAAAACATAATTATTTGTGGTTCACAGGGTTATTGTGTTACACTAAAGAGATGACGGGAAACGAGTGAAATTATGTATATCCTGATGAGCTGAAGTTTTTTCTTTGTCTTTTCTCTCGTCTTCCAAACATCGGCTACGTCCCATTCTGTATCGCTACTACACCCCCCTTGCTTCATCCTCTTCCTCTACTTTCCCTTCCCCTCTCTCTCTTTTCTGGTCCAGCCTCCTCTCTCCCGGTTGCCAGGCTTCTGTTGCTCTGTGAACTCTTAAACTTCATGCCTGGCTTCCTGTGTGCTTCTGCGCAGTCACACAAGGTTTCGCTTTCAAGCTAACGCCACAAAATGTGCCTCTGAGTAATCACCACTCCTAATTCACTCCTCACATTCCAGATCTGTCGATTCGACTGAATCCGTGCCATGAAGGGTGACTTCTCATCCGTGGTAGTGCTTTCATTTATGGAACAGTGAATTATTCAGCAGTTGTAGTTTATCAATCATCCGGAAGTAGCTTTGGGTATAACTTTTCAAATGGGATCCTGTTGCAGGACGGTATGTAACGTGACGAAACACGAATGTTCCGAAAATCAGCGGCTGGTGTTGATGGAAAGACGGGTCGCATCGCTGCCTGGATAGAATGTTTTTAGCTGTGTGAAAAAGATTGGAGAAGAATTTTCCATTTGCACATGCATCAGCAAAGATAGAGTTCAAACAAACAAACAAAAAAAGACACGTTCAGACAATTTTCTTTCTGCTCTTCTAAGTTTTGTGAGAACTGATCTTGCCATTGCAGCAACAGGAGCAGGACCCCACCAACCTCTACATCTCCAACCTGCCCATGTCCATGGACGAGCAGGAGCTGGAGAACATGCTCAAGTCCTTCGGACAGGTCATCTCCACCCGCATCCTCCGAGATGCCAACGGGACCAGCCGGGGTGTCGGATTCGCCAGGTTAGTCCCGAACAGGAGCGCAGCTCTTTATGGGAGGGATTAAACAGAGTGAAGCTCATCTCTGACTGTGTCTTAGAATGGAGTCCACGGAGAAGTGCGAAGCCATAATTCAGCATTTCAACGGCAAATTCATCAAGACTCCAGTAGGAGTGCCTGGTGCGTGGAAGGATGTGTTCAGAAACCCGGCGTTGTTGTGCTTTTGTGCCCCGCTGACTGCTTGTCTTGTCTGATCCGTTGCTTCTTCAGCACCCACAGAGCCCTTATTATGCAAGTTTGCAGACGGTGGACAGAAGAAGAGGCAGAGCCAGGGGAAGTACCTCCAGAACGGAAGGTCCTGGGCTCGGGACGGAGACACGGTAACGTGTTCATGGTGTTAACCTCCCTGCAGGGAAATTAGAGCAAAAACTTTTCGTCAGATTAAAACTTTTGCCGCTCTTTTTCTCTGCGTGCGCACTAGCTGGCTCTTTTAGAACATTCTGCACCCCACCAGTGTCTGCATGACCTCACTTGTTCTGAATCCAGTTTTTTTTTTCCCAGGGAGGAATGACGCTTGCGTATGACCCTACAGCCTTACAAAATGGGTGAGTGGTATGCACAGACTGACAGAAAACAGCCCCAGCCCTACAGTACGACAAACAGCTGAGAGTCTGGTGTTAGGCTGCCCTCTGCTGGACAGCACAGGAACACAGGAAAGATGCTGTGATGATGGTGCGGCTGTCCTCACGTCTTCTTCTCCGTCTGTTCAGCAGCTTCTACTCCTCACATTACAGCCTGGCTCCAAACCGAATGATCACTCAGCCTTCCCTCTCGCCCTACATGCATTCTCCTGTCTCTTCCTACCAGGTGGGACCAATTAATGATGAAATAAAAGATTACCAAGTTTTTGGTCACGCATGCTTTTCTTTTCCAGTCTGCATGAACATGAAGGATGTGTTTTCTGTGCCGAATCCTTCACCTTATATAACCTCTACAAAAAGGATTTTGATCCTTGAGTTGTTGTTTTTTTCTGCAAGTTTGCTGTAGAAAATCTTAAATCTTTCCAAGATTTTCTGCATGAGCTTCATGCAGTGTGTTGATCTGCAGGTACACAGCCCGTCCTGGATGCACCACCAGTCATACCTCATGCAG